TGATAATGCAGGTGTACTGTAGAAGAGCCTCAAACTAGGATGAAATAGATATCCGGTACTCCCCGGTCTTACAGTGACTCTCTAATTAATGTTAGTTCGTAATCTAACTATTGTTTTTTTATTATTATTATTATTGCTCCCTTGGGTTCCTAGTGGAACATGGGCTTCAACTGCACGTCTCCACTTGCTTCTGTCTTCTGCTATACTTTTCGCCTGCATCCATGTTAATCCATATTCTTTCAACTCCTCTTCACACGATCTCCTCCATGTCACCCTTGCTTGACGTCCCACACGCCTCTTCCCTTTCGGTTCCACTCGAGGGCTTGGCGTGCGATGTCACCCAGCGGTCTCCTCAGCGAGTGTCCGATCCATCTCCACTTTCTCCTGCATATTTGTTGGTTGGTGATTGGTTCTTGCTTTGTTTGTTCCCATAATTCCTTATTTTCCGGCCATCTAATCTTCAGTATTGAGCGAAGACAGTTGTTAATAAAGGTCTGCAGCCTTTTGGAAATATTCTTTGTGACCCGCCAAGTTTCTGATCCGTAGAGAAGAACTGACTTACCGTTTGTATTGAAAATCCGAATTTTGTTGGTGATGCTGCTGATGACGAAGATTTCCAGATTGATTTCAGGCTGATGAATGTGTTTCTCGCCCGCCTTCCCGATTCTCGCTCGATTTGACATCCTCGTCCGCTCCTCCTGTAGTTGAGACAATGCTCCCTAGATAAGTGAATGAAGTAACCTCTTTCAAATCCCTCCCGTTGGTGGTGATTGACGTTGGATGTTGTTGCTGTTGTTGGTTGGTTATTTTCATCACCTCCGTCTTGTCTATGTTTACCTGGAGTCCTGTCTTTGCTGCTCTTCGACCAGTTTGTCGGTTTTCGCTTGTAAGTCTTCGATTGTGTGTGACATCAAACATAAATCATCCACCAGCGAAATCCAGGTCTTCTAGGTTCTTCACGTCGGTCCAGGATATTCCTGTCTTCTCGTTTCCCACAGTCTAACGCATGATCCAATCCACCACAATTAGGAATATCATTGGTGATAGTAAGCACCCTTGTCTGACTCCTGTGTTTACTCCAAACGCCTCGCTGAGTCTTCCGTTGTGGATCACTTGACATGTGCCATTGTCGTACAGCTGTTGAATAAGGTTGATGAATATATATATATATATCACGGCTTCATTCTTTTTACGTAAATATTACGACGGAATTCGTGATTAATACTGCTCAAATCTTATTCCTAAATAAGTTCTTTGTTTAAATCAACTGAATCTGGACAGTGAACGCCACTTATTTACATATTTACTTTCTAACTACTTTCATTTGGTTAGTAGTATGCTTATATATATATTTAGAACAAAATATTCAGCAAAGAGACTAACGAATTTATTATCAAGTGGTACACCATTCAGCCACTGGGACCCGATTCAATGGCTCATGAATTCTAACTTCTACCAGTTAGTGATTTAGCGCGAGACCAACCATTATCGTTGGTGGGACATCCATCTAATTGGGCCTCACTGGTCACGACTTCTCACTAGAACTCCAGGAAACTCCATCCTGTGGCAAGTCACTAGCGAGTATCAGATTAATTTTCTATAGTTCGGTTTGTAAGGGTTAGTTATGTGATCCACTCGTAAAAACATAACTAACCCTTACAAACCGAGCTATGGAAAATCAAGCAGTACAGTCGTATATATGCGAGTTTTTTCATTAAGAAGTTATATCCCGTGAGGAAAGATATGAATATATAAAATAATAATAGTAGTATGAGAAGAAATTAAGATGTTTGTGCTTATAATCATGTCTAAATATCAAATGACAAGTGGCAAATCAAATATTGTCATGCGCAGAATAATTCATAAGATGTATAGATTCTGGAAGAGCGTGTATAATTATAGGGTTAGTAGGCAAATACAGAACATGACATAACATAGTGTAGAATTTGATAATATAGAATTCAACATTGTAAATAAAATTTTGATTTAGAATGACAAGTGGGACTAGTGGAAACAGTTCAAAGTGAGAACAGTCATAATAATATTAATAACCGTAGTAATGAAGCAAAGGTGCAAGAACAAACCAAATAAATTCATTATAATAAAGGTTATTTTTGTATTTCCCAATGAATGAAAAACAAAACGATATTGTTTTTACTGACGTTTCGCTATTTAATGCTAATAGCTTTCTCAAAGTATTATTAAACTGGAATTTACAAAAACTTCTATTATAATGAATATCATATACCCAATGCCCAAAAAATGTTTCAAACCGTTAAAAGTGAACTTGGTTTGGACATATATAAACCAAATAAATGTCTACTTCTCTACGGTCAAGGCGGAAATAGAAATTGTACTCACTTCTTTTGTAATCAAAGGTTTGGTTTAAATTCATGAATGGTCAAGGCTTCCTCTATCTTTAGAAGTTTATAACGAAAAAATGTGCGGCTAGTTAGAATGAATTCAAAAGATAATCTTAAAATCATGATGAGGGTTGGTAGAGTGACAGAAATCAATCGAGTGTTATAGAATAATATAAATACATATACATATATATCCCCTTCTTTGATGGCATAAGTGTTAATTAGGTAACATATTGTAAACTCTATACTTTAATTTCTAAAAGATGCCATGATTTGATTACGATTATTTGTTTGTGCGTCGGTGGCACAGCGGTTAGGACGCCCGCCGACCATGCACATGGTCCGGGGCTCGATCACCAGCCGCCGACGCAATTCTCTACCTTGCTAAGCCAGAAATAAAGCTGGTAAGGAGGAAAGGTTAAGCATAAGGCTAGCAACCCCACCCTGTAAAAATAAACACTGCTACAGAAACTTCAAGCCTCTAGCTTGAAGCCCTATGTTCCACTGAGAACGTGAAGGAAAACATTTGTTTATATCCCCATATCTATGAAAAAAACTCTTACAGACATTTTTTGTAACTGATTGTACAAAGCCTTATTTTTTTTAAAAATAACTTGATAATCACAGTAGGAAACTACGGGGAAATTTCATAACTCGAACTGTATGCATTGCAAATCGCTAACCATTTTTTTCAAACTGAAATCTGATTTATGGTTTGACTAATTCGCCCAAATAGCTAACCAAAAGTCAGGCGATTTGAATTGATTCGTTTCTGTGGGCTGAGTCAGACAGGATACACCGCTGATGAACTTGACCCTAGACGAGTGAAACGATCATCCATCGTTTAGATCACCTCGATCTGGGTAGCACCCACCGATGGTTGATGTAAGTGGTATGCAACTACTCATTGAATTACATTTTTTGCTCGTGCAGACTTCATTGTAGTCTTAATACTCTAGACTTGACTTGACTAAATGCAAAGGCATCAGTTTCTGAATCAAGAAAGTAGTAAGCTTCGAAACAAAGACTTTGAATTATTATTCCACCATTGTATTAATCCTAACAGCCGACCATATGTCATTCTAACTTGAGTGACTAATTATTTCTTCTGTTTAATAATCGCATATATATGTCACAAAGTAACGCATCTGTTTCTTTTCATTTCTTTGCGTTTCTAGTAGGATACAGGGTCTCAAGCTTGAGCTCTGAAGTTTTAGTAACCGCGTTGTTGTTTTTACAAAGTTAGCCCTATGCTTAACCTTCTCTCCTTCCTCGAGTTTGATACCGGTTAAGCGCTCTAGGAATGCATCGGCTTGAAGTGAAACATGGCTTAGTGAGCATTCTGTTGATTGAATCACTGATAAAGCATTGGTCAAAAAATGTATAAATCATGTTTTATTGCAAAATGCTCATTTTTGTTGGTATTAATGGTTGGAGGCAATCGGCAATCCAACAATCTAATACCAACAACTCATAGTGCACCTTGATGACGAGCCATCTAGCATGGTGGCAATATTGCAAACTTGACTGATAGAATTCAGTCTGCACCAAAGATAGAACTATACGCACATTACACTAGTTACTGACTGACTAGTGTCCAATCAAAAATGCCCATTTCTCTTATATCACGTTGAAACCGTTCTCAACTTTAATGTCTAATTTAACAGATTGTCTGAAAGTAAATTAAACAGACTAGTATATGAATATAAGTGTCTTGCCCGTCAGCTGCATAGGATACAACTTTAATATAAGTACCGCATTCTCATGGACATCATTCATTTTATATTTATCAGAATATATGAGAAATATGAGCAAAACGAATAGTGTCTGGAAACTCGAATACACTATAAATATAACTAATATTTCACTCTTTCTTTGAGCTATGTAGAGAAATGTGAAGTAACTGACTGGAATCCTCTGGAAGCTAAGAATCAATGGCTTGAGACTACTCATGATATGACTCAAAACCGCTTTCAGTGGTCCAAATGAATTTCCCCTCTCTAACCTGCTAGCATCATTAAGTCTTCAAGTTTTTCGATTTTATTGTTTTTTCTCGCACAGATTTCCGCACAATATAGTACTTTTCAATCCGTTTCCTTACTTTTCTCTACTTTTATGCTATATAGAGTGTTGCAACTTGAACCGCTTCAGTTTTGAGCGGTCCTAATCAATCAACGGACAAAATTAAAATTGACTAAAAACCCACAATGACTGATACCTGTTCAACGAAGTAGGTGACTCTCTTAACCTAAAAGGTCTTGTGCATAACGCTTTGATGTTTGAAACGAAGAGTACTGGGTTTGAGCCTCAGTGTGAACATGATTACTGATTATGAATTGCAAGCACACCCATCAGCTGATGAGCACCAAGTAGGACGAAATTCGCATCCTTAATCCTACTGCTAGTCACCATCTGGTTGGTGCTTCTCAAATAGAACAAAAGTCTGTACACAGAATATTCTAGGGGAAGAATAAATTTCTTACACAACTTTTATGTAGATCGCTTAAAATATAACTCGTGAAACAGAATATTGTTCATCCTTCTCTCTTCTATGACTAACAAAGAAAATATTTACACATATGATGTAACGCATATAATTAACAAAATATTCGCCTTTCTTTTAAATTATTTTACTAGCCTGAAAAAGTTGCAGACGCCTTACAATACTTTATTCAAGGATTAGGATTAGGTAAGTCCTAAGTGAATATATATATATATATATATATATATAATTAACGTCGCAATATTCGTATACATAACAATTTATTTATAGCTTTCATAATAAGAAATAGCCACCCAACTTCAGGTAATGTACACAAAATTTCGGTACTAAAGGAAATATTTCGTTATTAAGCTGTAAATGCACCTGCCGAGGGGTTGTACCTCAGACGTCTCACAAACTATGAGATTGTGTATGGCACACCTTATGGGTGCCTGTAATGTATCAAGTTTGTGTTTTTACAGATTAGTCGAGTGGGGTTGACTATTGTTCACCACTGCTCTTTTTCATTTTCTAAGACGTTCACACTATAGTCAACATACCTTAATTTGCAGAGAAGAACAACTGCGGTCAATGAGTACATCAGCTAATTGTATGCAACAGCATCAATCAAATTTTTTTAAGAAAACGAATACTTCATAATATATAGCGGAAAACTTTCTGTTGAGATTAGCTGAAAGCTTATTACACATACTCCCTTGGGTTCCAAGTGGAACATCCCCACTATGTCATGTTCTCCACGGTCCTCTTCATCTGGCCTCCCTTCCATGATAACCTCAGACATTCATCCAACTCTTCGTTTACCATTCGGCTTCCATACCAGAGCTGGCCTTGTGCACCATATCATCCGATGGTCTCCTCAGTGTGTGCCTTATTCATCTCCATTTTCTTTGGTATATTTGTTGAGCATTAGGTTCTTGGATGATTTGTTCCGAGAGTTTCTTGTTGCTATTTATTTCTGGCTTGCCATCTGACCTTCAGTATACAACTCGTGAAGGCGGTTGTTGATTAAAAGTATGTAACCTGTTGGAAATAGCCGATATAGAAGAACTGATTGAATTAACATTGGTGTTGGGAATCTGAATTTTCTTCTTTATGCTGAGAGGTGAAAACTTTCAAAATGATTTCTGAGTGATGAAGGTATGTCGTGCTTTTCGAATCTACCTTTCACATCCTCATCCATGAGGTGTGCCTGTAGTTGAAAAGATGCTTCCCAAATAAGTGAAAGAAGTGGCCTCTTATAAATTTATTCCGTTGATAGTGATTGGTGCTTGTTGGTTGGTTATGTTCATATATATATATATCCCCACAGTTTATCTCAGTAGTCAATGAGTTTACTTACAACCTTTGAAGTCATAACATCAGGTGTACGAAAATATATTCAGATAAATGTTCATCATAAATGACTACAGTTGGATACCCCATCTGACATAACTATCATTTCAGAACTTTGGAAGGATATCAGCAAACCACCTACTGCGAACACTTTACAAACTCCTGCAGTAGACGCCTTAAACTAGCTGGTGAACTTGAATGCACTGCGTCCTTTCGTAATATCAGATTCACAGGAATTTGTTAAATTACCCATAGTGATTTAAATCTTTTGGGACTCGATTGATTCGTTCACTTACAACCAGCTGATGTTCCACTTAAATCTGTGAAAAATACCATCAGTAATCCTCAAAATTTAACCGCAAAATGAAAGAAACCATCAGGTAATTTGATCACAAAAGGAGAGTCGTAAGCAATGTTAATAGAAAAAATCATTACTGGTTCTCCTACTGCTGATACTAATGTAGTATCCAAAATTGTACAACAGACATGCAACTCCAACAACAGCATATGTTTCCACAACAACAACAACAACATTGGCACTATGCAACAAGCCACCATGATGGCAACTCACGTTTCCGTCAGTGGTCAACCTGTTACTGTGGCTTCATGCTTCAGTACTGCTTCGCAGTTCATCACTTTAGCACCAAGAGCTCTTTTTAAAGTTATGGCTGTTTCGTCCTAATTTTCAGCTGACTCAAACAAAATAGAGAATCATTTAAAACAACAAAGTACTGTTTGTTTTCTAATTTTGAGCTCTTTATCAGTGTTCACAACGACCCTACGAAAAGTCAAACTCAGACTCAGCTAAGTAAGCACATTACCCATCACCCAATGAAATATCATATTTTAAAATTTTCAATGACAATAGGGTTGTTATTTTACAGGGGTTGGGATGGCTAACCTTACGCCTAGCCCCTCTCTTTCCTAAGTTTACTTACTAGATGAGTTTTGAGAAAAAGTCTAGTAGGAGTCGTGCTTAGTCCACCCTCACGGAAGGTGTGTATTCTGTCACTGAACCACTAACGCAGAGTGCGCTGCTTATATTTATTATTTCTATCTTATTCCCTTGCATTCAAAATGGAACATAAGGCTACAAGCTTAAGCATTGAAGTTGTAGTAGCGATGGCATTTAATTTTTACAGTGTGGAGTTCCTAGGCTCACACCTAACCCTCCCCCCACTGTTTACCGGGCTTGCTACCGACTAAGTGAGGTTAAGAGAGCGTCGACTGGGAATCGAATCTTGAACCATGTACGTGTCTCGTAAGTACTCAACCACTGAACCACCAATGCACTCACTCCTGATATACATAACTTATAGTATTATCATCTCCCGTAATAACATTTCATTTTTTGCTTATTTGTGTGTTTTTTTATTGCTTATCGTAGCTGGTGGATTAGTTAACCGAAGAATGAGTAGTACAATACCTGTTGCTAGAAATAGATCATTATCTATGGAAGAATATGATCAACCAAAAGGTGCAACTTATTGTACATTTAATAAAAATCGTAAATATAGTACAACAACAACTAATAAAATCGGCGATGAAAGTCCAATACATGAACGTAATAATGAAGATTAGGTATATTCATTAAATAAATAAATAAATAGTTCATTAATAATCAATAGCTGATTGGTTGGTTGTCTTTATACAAATGAAATGCACTCACTCAATAATCAATCATTCATATTCACATTTACACTTACCTACTCACTCAACAGACTCAATTACACAGAGACTATGAAAATACACAGTGAATGAAGTAATAATGGACTGCACAACTTCAAATCTTTTATTCCTTTTCCCTTTTCTTTCTTCTTTCTATTTGCTTTCGTGGATTTTCATTCTCTTCTTTCTTTACAATCATTGTCACTATTATTATTATTTTTATTAATGATATTACTACTTGATACAATGATGATGATGATAATAATAATAATAATCTACGTTTGTCCATTGATATTCTTTCACTTTCTTTATTCGTGTCAAGTGTACACATCATTCAACCTTCATAATCACACTTAATTCTTAATCCCTCTGATCACTGGACTTCTTTATCGATATGCGACGATATATACAAATACTACACATTATTGTGTAGTACTTTCCAATAAGCATACAATCACTAAAGGGAGAAAAGAAAAGGAGTTTACTATTAAAATCTTAACCTACTGTTTTCTTTCTTAATATCTACTATCTATCTTATGCTTATTTTATAATTTCGATATTACTATTCTACTTGTTCTCGTCAAGATTACGTAAGATAATTCATCTCTATATCTTTCATAGATTAGTACTGCTTTTTGTAATCATGACTAACACTGAAAAATCTAATAATCAAATTACACACAAATACTTTTATATACATATATACATATATATACGTACTAAAAGAAAAATCGGATTACATTCTTGCATAATTAAACGTACAATTAGTTTTAATATTGTAATCATCATCTTTACAATATTTTACTAAGAAAATTTGTAGTTCATATTAGCTGACGTCTTCTTCTTCTTCTTTTGTTCAAAAGAATGGATAAATATTATCGCCTACTGATAACAGTTGAGTGGGGGGACAAGAGAAAATGGGTGGATTTTATTTTAACTTGCATAGGATTCGTTAGTGGAATATATAGAGCTCCCCGTGTTCTCTGCTGTCTTCTTCAACTGGCCTCGTGATTACTCCCCCTCCCCTCCAAAAAGTTCTCATCTCTTTCTAACATAATCCCCTCTACGTCAACCTCACAGCAATACACAAAACTCGTCGTTTCTCATTACAGGAATGGCCTGACGCGTGATGTCACTCTCAGTGTGTGCCTGGTTCATCTCTGTTTTCTTCGTCATGACTGACTGAATGGTTACAACTTAGAATTTTGCACCGATGTGCAGCAGTTCGAGTCGCTACACTTCACATAACACACAAAGCAAGAGAAGAAAGTGATAAGAAATGCAAAACAGAGATATGAAGTAAAAAGAATAGTAATATCGAAGAACCGTATAGTTTTAGTTTGTATTATAAGTCACAAGGAGTGGATCCATCAGCACTATTGAGAACGATTTTCAGCCATATCACCAATTGTCTCAAGCCCTCATTGGTTTTCACCGTCCGAGGACCCCAACCAGGAAGTCTACACCTCCCAACATGGCTAGCAAAAACTAACTGTTGTGAATTCCACTGACTGATGAAGCCATGTTTTGGTTTGACCAGTAGTGGCCCTTTTCCAACCTGATCTATCCTATGTCAGCTATCATTACTCGTCAAGGAAGGCGATAGCTAGGAATGAATATGTAGCACATGTCTTAACCATCTTAATCGATGTAACTTCACAGCCTGATCTATTGATTTCCCCTCCAACTCACCTAGCACTCGACGCCTCACCTCAATATTGCTCACCTTATTATACCACTTAAAACGAGAATTAGGATGCAGACACCTACGATCAAAGACAGCTAGTCGGCCTTTTCATGTCTTCCACTTTCAATGGCCATGCATCGCTCACAGTCATAAAGGAGGACGGAATGTACTGCTTAGCAGTGCATATTTGTTGGGTAATAGCCTCTTGATTGGTTTGTTCACTTTTGTACATTTCTCTTTTGATACAAAGGGTTGATTAATGTTTGAATATAAAAATGCAATGTCTCAGAATAGTGACCTCATCAGTGTACACCAGTTATTTTAAGAGAAAGAGACTACACTTAATGTCTGGCGCATAACTGCGTAGTCCAGACCGATGAACGTGTCACTGTTAAGTCATTTTAATGAAACCTTTATTTCCATCCATCAGATAAATAAAATCCAAGCTTAGAACTTGTTATCAGATGGTCATCTTGACTCCACGTGGATTCGTTGGTGATTAGTACTGATAACCTTAACCTCACTAAGTTGGTAGTAAGGCGAGTAAAGAGGGGAGATTATGCGTGAGGCTAACAAATCCACTATGTGAAAAAAACCACTGCTATCGAAACTTCAACACTCAAACTTGAAGCCCTGTCTTCCACTCGCAACGTAAAGGAATAAAAAAGAAAATATTGATAACTGCTACCAAGAATTTGCTAGTCAGGCTTGTTTATATTTTAATAACTCAACGATCGGTGTTGGTCGAGACAAAGGTCTCTGCAGTTCTTAACATGCCTTGAAGTTCGAGTGAATAGAGAGATTGGAATAAAAGTAGGAACTACCATAGTTAAATTCTTAATTTTTAGATGAATTTGTAATTGACTCGGTTCAAGGAGGTGAAATTTTATCCAAGTTTCCTTTGAAAACTGAAATTATTCACATGTGATCTGCTTGAAACCATGATTAGTAATCAAGGAAGCAAACATAACCGCATAAAATTACATGCCACTTACTGATTGATTGAGATGAATATTTGCATACTACTTACATTAACTAGTAGCGCTTGCAAAAGAAGAATTTGATCTATGAATTTGCCAGTTCACCCAACTAACTGGCCAGAAATCGGGTGGTTTGAAATGATTTAGTTATTTCAGCTGAGTCAAGCTGGGTACATATCCAAACGAGAAAAACGGCCATTCGATTTGGCTAGTAAGCACTATTGGTTGATGTGATTGATGCTCAACTCCTCATATCAATCAGTCAGTAATGTGTAGTTTTGTAGAACCGTCATAATGTCTAGCATTTTCATTCTGATGGCATATGAAAATCAATTCGTTCTACCCTAGAATATGGATTTAACAGCAGTAAAGTGTGCCCTATGGTCACAAGCATTTGTCCCTTGATCCCTGGTATCACACGGAAATGAATTTATACTATGTAAGTAGTCATTAAATGCCAACCAATTACATAATCACATAAAGTTCTTCGTTTCATCACTAATTCCCTTTACCTTCTACGCTTTCATCTTACTGCTAACACCTTTTTGTAGACAGTTTCTTCCCCATTTCAAAACTACCTAGTCATTACCAGAGACGTGTAACTAACTGCATATGTAGGGAGGGCATTGAGTGTATAAGTCAACTGGATAGCGATAAAGACTCATCTGTATGCTATCTGACTGAATTGGTTCATCAAAGTAACAGAGGATAGTGGTACTCATCTATGTCTTCTTCGTAATCTCCACTTATGAACTCATTGACCACAGGTCAGGTGAAGTCATATGATTGTTATCACACGCTGTCCAGTTTGTTTGTAAAAGCTAGATGATGAAAGGGGTGGTCTAAGCTGAGCTAATCCGAAATGTGTTTTAATGAATATACGAATTCCGAAGCAGGTGAACTAATAATGGTAAAGTTTTCCAATAATAGGTTTAGATAACCCTTTGTTTCTGGCCAAAGTTGATAAAAAGCCAACGTGTTATACGACACATCTTCCTTAATTATTGATAGAAAAGACCAGTAAAAAATTTCAGCTTCTAACCTACGTATACTTACAACTGAAGATGTGTTAAGATCAAGCAACTGCAAAGTCTACATATGTTCAATTTTACAGCGGAAATGACAAGTGTAGGATTAATCATCATCTTCCCCGATGACAAGTGTTAGCTAAAGTAGCACCAGCTCAATAAAAATGTAAGAGGTAATCAGACTAAAAAAGAATGCACATCCACGAATTGTAACCAATAAATTTCGGGAAGTCAACTATCTAAATACATAAAAGTTTTAGAAGCTCTCACAATGCAGTGATATTAGTTTAAATATGACAACTCCTTGACGGAAGGAGTTGGATGTGTCTGCAGATATTTAAAGCGAAATTATTTAAGCTTCGCCTTCATCGTATAAGCTTCATCTGCAACTTCTCGTCCAATCACTAAGTGAAGATTACTCACATCGAGTAGTGATTTAATCTAGCTAGGCAGCTGAATAATGATAATAATAGCTTTATTCCAAAGAGTATTTGTGGTAGAGGTATGGAATTTTCAGTGTGCATGTTGTAATTATTTGTACTAGTAGTATTAGTATTTCGAGATGACCGAATTACAAGAATTCAACCAAAACACAGAGAGGGAGGAATTCTGGAATTTGTATTTGGCGGAATTATTATTCAATTCATATAAGAAATATATTAACAATCAGCAGTAAGTATTTAAACAATACAGAGATAGAAATTGTCAATCACCACATCCGCCACACGTCGAATGTCTCCTTGCGTATTTATAATGATGTCGCGGTTTGCTTGCCAGTCTCTGCGATCTTCTAACTGATTCTGTGATATCATTTCCATCAGTATCATCTAGACTTATTTCTGAATTATCTACAAAATCAGGATTAGTAGCGGAATCATTAAAATAATAATCGGAACGACCTACTTCATTTATTCTCACTTGATCCAAGTGTCTGTTATGAACTGAATTATCTTCGATGTCTAATATCTTCACCATTCGATTTCCCATTCTTTGTAGTATGATACCAATAGAAGGTCTATAATCATTCCCTCTGTAATAATGTACATCAGAAGTCGTGGACATCAGATGCTTTCTGAGAATTCGAGATTTGAATAGTTTTGCAGGACTTTCATGAGTACTTGTATGCTCCGCATTGCGATATTGAAGTAAGAAGTTATCCACACATCTCTCTAGCTCATCAAAATTTTGAGGACTCATTGATGCTATAGCACTCTTTAATGTTCGTACAAAATTTTCTGCCAACCCGTTTGACTGAGGATGACGTGGTGCTGTGTACAAATGACGACAACCTATATGTTTGAGCCAATCATTGAAGTTCTTCTCCGTAAAATGAGTACCATTGTCAGTAACTAAGACATCTGGAATTCCTTCTCGACTAAAAATCTTTCTCAACGCTCTGTGAGTGAATTTGGCATTAGGACTATCTGTAATGATGACTTCTGGCCATCTAGAATAAGAATCCACAATAACTAAAGCATAATATGAATTTAAGAATGGACCACAGTAATCTGCATGAATACGCTGCCAAACCTCACAAGATGCAGGCCACGGTGTCCACGATGACTTCCCATAGGACATTTTATGTAAACAGCTAGAACAGCTCTTTGATCTTTTGTTAATGTCAGCATCAATTTCCGGCCACCAGCATGTTAGGCGTGCTAATGATTTCATCTTATCAGCTCCTAGATGAGCAGAATGTAGATCATCCAAAATCGCAGATCTTAATGTTGGAGGAATAATAATTCTGTCATTCAGACATAGAAATCCTTCAGGATGGACTGAAATCTCATCTCTTCGCTTATAAAAGTCTGGAAATCTTCGCTTACACTGAACATTCCAACCTCTTTTTGTTGCATTTATAACGCATCCGTAATATTTCCGAGTATCATTTATAAGTCGAACTCGATCCACCGGTAACGGCTGGACTAATAAGCAATCAGTATCATTAGCAGCATTTTCAAATAATGAATAACGAGATAAGAAGTCTGCATGAGGTATATCCTTTGCCGATCTATGTTCAATAGTGTAATCATATGCACTTAGTTCTAAACTCCATCTTTGAACCATAGCAGCAGATGATTTATTCAAAGATTTTTCTGGATTGTAAATGAATTTCAAAGCTTGATGATCAGT